AAAAAAAAATGTGTATATATATGTTGTGTGTGTGGCTGCAGTGGGAGGGGGGTGGGGGTGTGAGAGAGAGGGAGAGAGAAAGCATTGATGGATGTCAGTTTATTCCTTAAGCATTTTCAAGGTTTGAATAAAAATGGGTTGGCTAAGAGGCAGAGGAGTGAATGGGAGAGAGGAAAAAGGGGACACCCCAGCGGTTCCGAGAGGCCCATGACCAGAATGTGGTGAATGGGGTCCTTGCTCTCCTCCCAAGTTCTGCCCAGTGCAGTGTGAGCACGCTCACTTTGGCAGTTGGCCTGAAGGCCCTGGGGCAGTGAAGCCAGGCGTGGTGTTCAGGATCCCAGGGTGGARCCTGAGATGCCGCATCTGGGACAGGGGCATCCCTGACCTCAGCCAACAACAGGAGGGGCAGATCCTCAGGGAGATCCCAGGATGGCTCAGTGCCTCAGGGCCAGAGAATGTGTGACAGTGAGCCAGGGCGTAGGGGGGCACAGGGCTGGGGATACCTGATCTGTCACTATGCCTYAGGATTTGCAGGGAGGGAGCAACACTCTGCTCTGCCGGTAAGCTCCCCGAGGGCACCCTGTCTGCTCCAGCCAGCCCACCCTCTCCTTGCCTGACTGTGGACCTGCTCTCTGAGGGTCACTGTGACAGGGCAGCTGGGAACAGCACACTCACTTTAGCRCACCTACCCTCTAGTGGGAGTCAGATTTTCCGGCACCTGCTTTTGCATCCGGAGCAGCCTATTTTTGTTTGCATGTGTGTTTTGAGACAAGGTCCTGCCATGTTACTCACCCTGGCCTCAAACTTGCAATACTTCTCCTGCCTCAGCCTCCAGAGTAACTTCCAGATTAYAGGCATGTGCCATTGAGGCCAGCTCCTTTGGTTTTGGCCTAGGTTGTATGTTTAACAGGGATCGGTCAGTCCAGAAAAGGGTGTTGACTTTGGAGTCTCCTCCCCTGTCCCCTCTGAGGGACCCTGGGAGGTCTGGTGCTTTTCAGGACTGGGGCGTGGTTCAGTGCCTTCTCTGGAGTAGGTCCAACTCAGCACCCCTCCCCTCCCCATAAGGGTCCTTGGTCCAAGATAAGTAGAACCACCCCAACCTTGGCATGCAGCAGACACAGAGAACCAGGGCACACAGGCTGCAAACCCGCTCAGACTTTATTCAAAGGCCAAGAGGTGCAGGTGCCAGGAGGGGAGGAGGCCTGGCCGGGAGGCAAGGCTGKCATGGATGGGTGTGGCCATCAAGTTTCTAGCTTAACGGTATTTGGAGGTCAGCACGGTGCTCACAGAGGCCAAGAACTTGTCCAGGGAGGCATGCACCGCAGGGTTGAATTCCTCTGGGTAGTTAGCAGCGAGGGTCACCAGCAGGGAGTGGGTCAGGAGCTGTGGAGAGAGGAAGGGCCGTCCGTGGTGGTAGAGGCCACTGGCATCTGTGCTTCACCTAACAGTGATGTTCTCTGCCCTGCCACCTGCGCCCTCCACCTGTCCCACCTGTCCTGGCCCAGTGCCAGCACTCACCTTGAAGTTGACTAGGTCCACACGCAGCTTGTGYGCATGCAGATCGCTCAGGAAGGACAAGGCACTAGGCAGGTTGTCCATGTTGGCTGCAGCAAGGGCTAGAGCATCAGCCACCTTCTTGCCTTGCTGCTGGATCTGGGCAGAGCCAGGGCTCAGGTCAAAGTGGGCGAAGTAGGTCTTGGTGCTGGGGAAGGACATGAACATCCTGCAGTGAGAAAGTGGTGGGTGGGGGAAGTCAAGGAGGGTGGGGGCATAACAGGTAGGGTGCCAGCTGGTCACTGGGTGTTGTACCCGGGGACCTAGCAGGGCAGAGGAGAGCACTCGCCTGTCCAGGGCCTCTGTGCCATACGTGTCAACCTTGCCAATCTTCTCCCAAACAGCCTTGACATTGGTCTTGTCAGCAGGAGACAGCACCATGGTGATTTCTTTCTTTCTTTTTTTTTTTTTTTAATAGGAGAGAGAATTTTTTAATATTTATTTTTTAGTTCTCGGCGGACACAACATCTTTGTATGTGGTGCTGAGGATCGAACCCGGGCCGCACGCATGCCNGACACAACATCTTTGTATGTGGTGCTGAGGATCGAACCCGGGCCGCACGCATGCCAGGCGAGCGCGCTACCGCTTGAGCCACATCCCCAGCCCGGTGATTTCTTTCTGAGTCCGTGTCAGAACCAGAAGCGTGCTGGACCAACAGAACGCAGTGTTTTTTATGGCCCGGGTGTTTGGGACCCGCCCAGCCTAGCTACACTTATTGGCTGGCACCGGGTGAATGAGCAGCCAGGCCTAGCCAGCCGGGCCTCACCCACACAGGGACCTGAGGGTCAGAGGTTCTTTTCCCCACTCTCCGCCTTTCCTTGGCAGCAGCCTGCCAATTGGGGTGGGTGGTTGCTGGCATTTGCTGTGCATGAGCTCAATGCCATCTCAGATGTCCAAGCATCCTAGCCAGGGGCTGGGCTYCTGTGAGCACTGGCAAAGGCCAGCCCACACCACCTCCCCTGATCCTAGGCTTTTCACAGGCAGGATGTGCATCATCTGAGCAGCATCCACACAGGGGTGAATTCTTCCAGGTGGTGAGTTGCCATGGTCACCAGCAGGCAGTGGTTCAGGAGCTGTGGAGAAAGTGCCATTAGTGGTGGTAGAGACTGTGGCAGTGGTAGAGACTRAAGGCCACAGACATCTACATCCTGTGAACCATGAGTTCTCTGTCCTGTGACAAGGCTGGCTGTGGCTGCCAGATCACGTCCTAGTGGTCACATTGAGATTGACCAGATCCACACACAGCTGGTGGACATGCACATCCCTCAGATCACTTAGGGCCAATTCCAGGTCATCTATGTGGCCTGTGTGTTAGTCAGCATTTTGGCCACCGTCTCACCTAGGCCTTGACCTGGGCAGAGCCATGGGATAGATCAAATTGGAGGAAGCAGGTCTTGGTGGTGGGAGGATCCTTAGCAACTTGTGGGTTGAAGCGGCATGTGAGTTGGGGTCAGAGAAGTGCAGCCAGCCAGTTAGGAGTTGGCGATGGGGCAGGCGTTGGACCTGAGGCTTGATGGGAGAAGGGTCCTCAATTCTCTAGGGTATGCACACCATGCTTGTACCATGGCTGCCAACCTTGTCCCAGACAGCTCTGAGTTGGCTTTGTCAGCAGGAGACAGTGCAATGTTGGGTTCTCTCTTTTTTTTTGGTACTGAGGATTGCACTCAGGGGCACTCAACCACTGAGCCACATCCCCAGCCCTATTTTGTATTTTTATTTAGAGACAGGGTCTTGCTAAGTTGCTTAGGACTTTGCTCAGTTGCTGAGTAGATTTTGCACTTGCGATCCTCTTGCCTCAGCCTCCCAAGCCATGTGGATTACAGGTGTGCCCTTCTATGCTCCGCTAGAAGTCAGAGCTTTTATAGCCTAGTGAAGGGTCATGTCCCAGGGCTGAGTTCACTGGCTGGCAACCCCACTAGGAGGTGCCCATATGGGAGGGGCATAGGGGTGGGTGGGTCCTAGCTGTATTTCCATGCTACTTTAGAGACCTGGCTTTCTGCACTGCAACTTCACCCATCCTGTGATTCTTAGCATGAGTTCCTGAGACCCCTTCTAATCTCATAATGCACCTAGGTGTGGCCCAGACCCAGGGCACATTTGCTGTACCTGTTTGGTGGGATGGGAAGGAGAAAGCAATCCTTTCCAGAATGGAATACCAGCTGCTTTCACACTAGACTTCCCCAGGGACCTAGAGCTTGACCATGGTGGGTCAAGTCCTCCAAGTTCCCTTCTCTTCCTGATCCTGGGCACTGACTTCTTGGGGGCCTAAACGGAGCCACAGCCAGGGCTCATCTTCCAGCATCCGTCTTCAGGCCTGGCACTGTGCTGCTTCACAGAGGGATCCTCAGCTTGGGAAACACTGCAAAGGCTGGCCCCTAAGATTCTTGCCCTCCCTAAGTTGGCCAGGGAGTGTGGAGACCAGTCTTGGATGAGCACAAACCTTGGAAAGGCAAGCTGCAGAGTCTGAAATGCAGTGCTGGGGTGTAGGGTGTTCATGAGCCTGTTGGGCATAGACCCTGCATTATGATCTCAAAAATTATATCAAAGATCTAGTGAATCCATCTTATGCATGAGGCTCAGAGAGCTCAGGCAAGTGCAGATCACACAGCTTGTCAGTTCAAACCTGCACTGCCAAATTGTGGCCACTTCCACTCCTACCCCCATGCCATGAGATTCTTGGAGAGAGGGACTAAACTGGCGCAGGGCAAAGTCTGCMGCAGAGGGAGCCTCCAGTAGGGAGAAGAGGAGACATAAAGGAACAGAGATGCGGATCCCTGCTTGGGAGAGGGAACGGCTTCAAGTCCACCGCCACCAGGGTGGTGGGAGTTGGGACATCAGGAGTGCAGACCCGCACCCACCAGGCGAAGCAAAACCATAATCTCTTGGCGGTTTGGGAAGGCAGGGAGAGTCGCAAATGCAGGTGCGACCTGAGGAGACCACACGGGATGCTGTGCTCCCAGTGCTGGGGTGCTCTGGGCCAAGACCTTCCCCAAACCACCTGGGAGTGTCCTCTAGGCAAGGATGACCCCAGTGTCGACCGCATTCCTACGACGCCCCAACGCATCCCCCAGCGTCTCCCCTCCTCCCCTCCTCCCCTCCACTAAGAATGCAGGACTCAGGTTGTTCCATTCTCATCTAATTTATTGGGGGTTGCGGGGGTGGGGAGGGCTCAGGGACAAGGGAGGGGTCCCGGCGGCGGTGCTCAACGGTATTTCTCAGTGAGGATGGAGGACAAGATAGACAGGAACTTGTCCCAGGCGGCGTGGGTCTCAGCAGTAAATTCGGCAGGGAAGTGCGTGGCCAGGGTAACCAGCAGACAGTGGGACAGGAGCTGCGGGGGCAAAGTGAAGCTCCGGTAGACGTAGGCGGGGCGTGCCCCKTCCAGGCCCCGCCCGCGCTTGGTCCCGCCCCCGTGGCCCGCCCAACCGGGACCCCAGACCMCTTGCCCACCTTGAAGTTGACCGGGTCCACGCGCAGGATGTAGGCGTGCAGCTCGCTCAGCTTGGTCAGGGCGCTGGCGATGTTGTCGATGTTCTTGACCGCATCGCCGATGGCGCCCACCACCTTGGAGCCGTGCRTGCGCAGCTGTGACGACCCTGGGTGCAGGTCGAAGTGCGGGAAGTAGGTCTTGGTCTGCGGGAAGCTTGAGAACAGCCTGCCAAAAGGTCGGGGGAGTGAGCTGGGGAGGCGTCAAACTAGAGACTAACCAGTACTTGCAGTGGATCAAATCRGGGGTGCCCCCAAAATCAAAACTCAGGAAAATCACATTTTAACGCAGTGTTTTGAGAAATTAATACAAAACCATCCACATTGCTGACACGGTGGCCCATGCCTGTAATCCCAGCAGCTCAGGAGGCTGAGGCAGGAGGATCATGAGTTCAAAGCCAGCCTCAGCAACTTAAGTCCTAAGCAATTTTGTGAGACCCTGTTTCAAAATTATACATGAAAAGGGCTGGGGATGTGGCTCAGTGATTAAGTGTCCCTGGGTTCAATCCCCTGTACCAAAAATAAAATAAAACAAAAGGTCTATATTGCTGATTTTTCCCATTGCCCAGGATACAGTGTGGCAAGACACTGCCTCTCCCTCAGTGTCCATCATTCATTCATTCATTCAACAGATGTTTGAGCTGCTGAGGACTGAGACAGCTCTGCCTTCAGCTCCCACCTCCTCTTCAACTGGCTGGCCCTAACCCCCTCCTCACTGCCACTCATCTTCATCTTTGTTCTCTCTCTCTCTCTCTCTCTCTCTCTCTCTCTCTCTCTCTCTCTCTCTCTCTTTTTAGTGCTGGGGATTGAACCTAGGGCCTTTTGCAAGCACTTTACCACTGAGACAGTTCACACTGTCTCCTATTGACACTCCTAGTGACCCTTCCTCAGGAACTCGTGCTACCCACCCTTTCTCACTGACCTCTCCTTACCACCTCTCCCTGGCCTCTGACCTGGTCACTCAGGCCACCCTGTATGGTACTCACCTCTCCAGAGTCTCAGTGCCAATGATCTCAGATTGCATGGAGATCTTGTCCCAAATGGACATGATGATGGCCCTTTCGCTCTTGGTCAGAGACATGGCAATGAGGGTCGGTGGCTGTGCTGGAGCTGGGTGCACTTGGGAGTAGCCTAGTGATGCTTACTCCCCAGGGTCCCCTTATATGCACAGAGTCAGGGGCCCAGTCTGGCTGGGCTATTGGTTGGGAGAGGGAAAGGGGATCTGGGGGTGGAGTCTGTTATCAGAGTGACAGTGGGCAGTCTGGGACTGTTGAGGGTGAGGGGCTATCAACTCCTACCCCCTGCTGACCTTAGAGGGGGCGGTGGACATAGTCTGACTCAGAATCTAGGAGAGATAGGGGCCCAGCCATCCCAGGAGCTCATCCTGCATTTGAAGTTCATCCCGTACTGTCCTTATCCACTTCAGAATTGCAAACTGGGGCCCAGAATGCACCACCATGATGCCTGTACTAGCCTCTTCCCCCTTTGTCTCTGGTTTCTGTTTCTTCTAAGAAAATAAGGATCCTGTTAACCCAGCAATGAGGGAAGCTGTTCTGGGTCTGTCTCAGGTGGAGAGTGTCTGTCTCAGGCAGCAAACCAAACCCATTCTCTGGCTGTCTTTAAAATGTAGAGACAGGGCTGGGGTAAAGTTCAGTGGGTAGCACATACTTAGCAAGATCCTGGGTTCAATCCCCAGCTCAGAAACTAAAGACAGATGGCCAATAAGTACATGAAAAGATGCTCAACATCAACAGTTATGAGGAACATGTAAACCAAAATCACAAAGACCACATCACACCTGCTAGGATGATCATAATTGAAAAGGCAAGTGTTGGGGTCAGCTCAGTGGGAGAGCACCTGCATTGTGTGTGCAGGGCCCTGGGTTCCATCTGCAGCAAGCAGAAGATAAATACTTAAAAATTTAAAAAATGAAATAAGTTCTGGGCAGGATGTGAAGAAATCGGAATTCTTCCTGGCCTTTCTTACATTTCATACTGTCCCACCATCTCCTTGRAGGGTCCTACCTACCAGGGGTGTACCCGACCACGCATTCCCTTACATTTGTTTGTTAACTGTCCTGGCAAGTGCTGCTGACCACAGCTGGCCCCGGATGCTCACCTGGAGTGTCTCAGCCTGGCAGCTGGACCCCCATGGGCACTTGGGCCTATGTAAGGCTGCAGGTGAGGTTTTACTCCTAGAGAGGAGGAAGATGCCAAGGTTTGATATGGAGTCTGATGGATAGATGGGTGGAGAGGACAGAATGAGTAAACTATACAGGGAGCTTCAGGTCAGCTGACGGAGATTCATGGAGCAGGGGAGACAAGTCTGGGGGGTAGGGGGGAAATTGGCTACTTGAGGGACAGTCACAGACAGTGCCCAGTGAGGTAACTGGGAGGGCCTCTCCACTGCAGTGTCTGAGGACTTGTGGCCAGGGTTGCTCTTCTCCCTCACAGAGGAGGTWATGATGGTGGATTCCAGGATCCTGCTTCCAAGGCAGCCCTCTGTCCTKCGGATGATGGCTGCCAACTACACTGACCCCTCGGCCTCCTCTCACCCTCCTGGGAGCATGTGCCCCTTCCCATCCTGAGTTCTCACAAGGACAGGACTCCCCAGGAGGCTATTTGTTTCTGAAACTTCCAAATTCTGCAAAGCATCATGGGCAGATTTCCTTTTCCTTTTCTTTTCATTATGAATATARCACATGACAGTTTAAGTTTAATGAAGCTCACCTTCAACCCCAGCACTCCCCAAGAGTGATCTCTACCTTCGGCTTTCCTTTCTYTGGAAAATGGACCAGGGGGCTCCACTGTTGAGTTATATCCCCAGACATTTTTTTTATTTTGTTTTGTGACAGGGTCTCACCAAGTTGCCCAGGCTGGCTGCAAACTTGCAATCCTCCTGCCTCAGGCTCTCGAGCTGCTGGTATTATAGGTGTACTCCACTATGCCTGGCTTTAATAGCTTTTGAGCCACCCATATATGCATCTAAATCCTTCAGCCGTTTCTGTGTGTGCGTGTGTGTGTGCGTGCGCGTGCGCGATGCTTTGGCCATCATAAATGAAATGATACATTGTGCTCCCKCTTTTTTGGTACTGGGGATTGAACCCAGGGGTGCTTAACCACTGAGCCACATTCCCAGCCCTTTTTAATATTTTATTTAGAGACAGGGTCTCGCTAAATTGCTTAGGGCCTTGCTAAGTTGTGGAGGCTGGCAATGAACTCCCAATYCTCCTGCCTCAGCCTCCCAACTTGCTGGGATTGCAGGTGTGTGCCATCGCACCTGGCTATGTCCCCTTTTGYGTCTGTCCTTTCTTACCTACTAGCGTCTGTGATATTTACCAGGCACAGGGTAGTGGTCTGTCTTCACTCCATTGTACTGTGAATGTGTCTTTGGGTTGCTTTTTCATCCTTGCACATGTGGCCTGGTACCCAGGTTCTCTGAGGTGTGTGCATAGGAGTGGAGTTGCTTGGTTGTACCTCATGTCTTTTCAACTTCAGCAGACAGGGCCAGGTGTCTTCAGAGCAGCTGCCGAGGAGATGTTCATAGTAGCTGGAGTTCCCTTGGCTCTGCGTTCTTGAGCACCTGCCATGCCCTTGATCTTCGCCTTTCTAGTGGGGTGCAGGGCTTGGCCTTTCTTAGCAGCTAAGCATGCCACATCCATGAAGTCATCATGATGCATTTATCTATCTATTGATGAA